AATGCTTTCAAAACAAGTATTTTAGAGCATCGGTTTTATTTTATTTTCGGAGCATTTGGGAATGTTTTTCTTCACGATAATTTGTACTCCTTCCGTCTCAAAATAAGTGTCTCAACTTTAGTACAAGGGAGCTCTTAGTACAACTTTGTGTATGTAACAAATCATTTGTTGTAAAAAACAACAGAAAATTTCAGAAAATAGTACTATTCTTTAAATTTTACTGATCATGAGGGAGCATTTGAGTTTGGGAGCAGAAACTCCATATCCACTGCATGATCTTTTAGATCCAAACCTGACGTGTATCCATTAAAGTCGAATACATCTAGACAATAGAAAATATTTTACACTCACAGCACGGCACGATAGTATACCTTTAAACACAATATTTATCTTATGGAAAATATAAAATATACAACAAATAAAAAGAAATTAGTGGGCCAACTCATATTACTGTCTGAGCTTAGCAAAGCTCATATTACAACTTTATTTGGTGAACCAACCTGCGTCTGGCTAACTTTGGCATGAGCCAGCTATTGTTTCACGCCAGGCGGCGACTCATGCGGGGAGGCCGGGGGCGGCAGTCAGGGCGGCGCCCCTGCTGCACAGCGGCGATGGGAACCTACATAGTCGGCGTTGTGGCGGCCGCTGGTGCATGGGTGGCTTCGATGGCTGCGGGTCTGGCGTCCTGTCCAGATCTGTCTCGGTACGTCCTTGGCGGGCCGGTGGTGCGAGGAGGACCTGTGAGGGGCGGCTGGAGGCTCCCTGCCGGCGTGCCGATGGCGGCCTTTGTCTCCACGACGAGGTTCCGTTCGGTTCCAGCTAGCTGCGAGGTAGGGGGGATGCGACTTCCGGTGAAAATCGCGCTGACTTCGGTCATGGCAGCGTCTATGACGTCGTTCCCTTCTCGAGGCATTGTTGTTGCAGGTCGTGGCACCCCACTCGTGATGCTCTGGGGGAAACCCTAGATCTGGATCTACCGGATCAGACGATGATGGTAACTTTGATGCCGTTGTCCCTCTTGAGTTCATCGTTTTGGAGCAAGTGCTGGTTGGACGGGACAAGCGGAAGAGCAGTGTCTCATCCACCGCAAGGCCGACGGTGGATCCCGGTGGCATGGTGCTGCGGAGGTTCGGCGACGGGCGGGTGTGGACGGATACGTGCAGGATGGTGGAGTTGTTTGGCGTCGTGGTGGTGTCGACGATAGGCCAGGCAAGGTCGACGGGCCAGTTTCTGCTCTGGAGATGGACTGTTGGAAGATGGCGGCGGCAACCTCTGAGAGCGCGTCGGTCTGGTGTGGGATCCAGTCCTAGTGTGTGGCTGGGCTGGGGCATCCGACTTTAGATGTTAGGGTTTGGTGCGATATCCGTTTAGTATTAGGCCCGGATATTAGGCACACCTTCATCAATGGGATAGGAGTAGCAACAGGTGTTGCCTAGACGATGTCTTCAGGTTGACTAATGTATTAGTTTGTATGGTCTCTATGAATAATTAATAAAATGGCCGCATGCATCGTCCAAATGCAGAGGCCGGGGGTCTATCCTCCTTTTCAAAAGAAAAATCACATATATTTTTCTAAAATCCCATGGAAATGTGTTGGTCAACTGGTCTATCAGGACGGTGTATTCTTATATTTCAGGGAATATGAAATTCATACAAAAAGAAAACATGGGACATAGATGGGGACTGTCTTTAAGGAAAAGCAAGTAACTAATCAAGAAAGAAGCTTGCACATTCCATTTTCCTGGAGTAAACATTGCAAAGTACCCAGCTATTAAAGTTCCCAGCTATTAAAGTTACCAGCTAGTACTTAGTATTTGACAATGGGATAACAAATTAGCAGACTGCACAAGCACCAACTTACATGTATGAGGCTCTATTAAGTAAACATGATTGAAGGTTATTTACCTGTACTCGACCAAGTTAGAGACAATTTTAGTCCCAGTCACCTTAAATAAATTTCTATGGAATTCTCTGTAGATATCTGAGAAGTGTTTATTTGCTGAAATAGGTTAAGCGGTTTAAAAGCTATGAGCAGAACAACAAGCGACTCAGTAACTCAATTAAAGTTTCAGCTAAACTTAGAACTGGTAATTTAGGTTTTTTGCTTGAGGAAAATATTAATTTATTCATGAAATTGAGATTTAAAATTTTTTGTATTTAAGCTGATATAACTTTTATATGTATTGTAGGCAGTTTGTTTTAAATCCACAAAACAGTCCCTTCAGTAGGTTAATGATGAAAGTTTTTTTTGCAGGTATTTCAATGATGAAAATTAATGACTAATTATGGTGCAAAATATCAACGTTCCTTCAGTATTTTGAACTGCAGGGCGTAATTTGGCCATCCAAATTCAAATTTGACCAACTACTAATCTGAGAATATGTGGGTTATGTTAAAACACAATAAAGTTGTGTTTGTGTCCAAAAGTACTTTTTTATGATTGTGATTTGTAATATTGTACTACTTCAAACTTGGACAGTAAATTTAACACCTTAGATTTCCTACAGAAGGGAGTAGTTTCCACGGCGAGAATATTGACTCTTGTTTTTCTTTTCAGCCGGTAGCTTGATGGTTCAGATACTGGGGTCATTTCTTGATATTGATGTATCAGAGGACAGTTACCAGTTGAACAACTGATACATAAATCGCAAAGATACGAGGATTAAATAGCTCAGCAGTCTTGTCAGGGCCGACAAAGCATTTTTTCATGTGATCACTACTGCGACGTAATACGCCAAGTAACTAGTATGACACTGCAACAAGATCTAACTACAATTATGGCCAGTTGCACAAGGAATGGAAAGCTCACTAGGCTGACAAAAATAGGGGTGGCTCACTGCTGGCTTGAGCAACTGATGAAAACAAACCGAGTGCCTCGTGGTGTGGAGAACACAGCTACAGAAAATGGTGGTTTGTTTCACTCGACTAAACGCTTAGGGTAGCCTGATGTAGTATCAGTAGCAGTCTAAATCCTTCTTTCTCTCAATGTAAATCAATCCACGTGATGTAGTATGTAATAGTACTAGGTTACTTCATGCTGATTCTGCATCAACCTTTGTTTTAGTACGCTATTGTTCATTGTCAACTAGATATATATCCATAAAACTTGACTGTACCAACTGACACATAGCTTACAAATTCTCCATGGTATGAGAACTGCACCTAGCATGCTTGGGATCCGACGGCATATTCCAGCCAAGACACGAAAAACAAGATTACACTCACAGGAGTAGTATATATCTCGAAACAGAGCAGAAGTACCATTGCAGGCTCACAGGAGCAAGAAGTAGAGCAACAGTTTTAGCTTGCATGAACAAGTGGAGCAAATTGCCCAGAGGTACATCTGTGGCTACCCTTGTACCCTTTTTAACTCCTATCAATGCAATGACACGCAAAAAACTAATGCAAAATAATAAAAATTTAGGTAAGAAATGCTTCTAGTTTCTAAATGTGTAAGTACATAGTACCATCAATATACAACTTTCGAATATAACAAGATGCACGCTAAAGATAATTCCAATAGTCGAACTAAGACCGTACACATGATGGTCTAAACTTTTAGTAATCATGTCTGCTTGCCTGACCTGAATTCTGCATTTGAGGAGTCTAAGTAAGCTAATGGGCCGAGAGCTCTAGACTAATGGGATAAGAAGCTGAAACTCATACTCCATTGAGCGTGTAGCATTCCTGAAAGCAGTCATGGTTCAGACTTCAGACATGGACATGCGCCAGTTGCTGCTTTGAGGTCTGTATACTCCATTCAGTGTAGATTGTTTGACCAGTTCCTTCTTTCCTCCTTGCCGCTGCTGGCCTTCAGCAGCAAGCAGGGACACGGGCGCCATTGGGGACATGCGCTGCCGGGAGGGAACCCGCTTCGCTGGTCGCATCCCTAGTAGACCGACCGACGCCCCGCAACCTCCGCCATCGTCCCGGTAAAAAATACAACTAAATTATGGGATTCATGCATAGTCAATGAAATTACAAAAGAAAATATGATACTGTCAGAAAAGTTCAGACTTAAATGATCAACAAGTGCAAAGTCCGAACTGTCAGTCATTATCATTTGTACTGTAAAAAAGGTTAGAGAGAAAAATTAATGAAGATGAGTCACATAAACCTATTCAGATCACTCCCTCTCCAACATTGGCAATGCTCACTAGATCTTTATAATCTGGTTACTTGTTTGAGGTACAAATAACAAAAGGGAATTCAGAAAGGAGATTCAGTTCAACCTCTTGTACCTCCTGTGCATGTGTGAATTAAGGAGTAGCAAGGACAGGAACAGCAAAATTCAGAGATGACAGAAAACCAAGGAACAAATTACACACTATGGAGCTAAAATACAACTATTTAGATCAAGGCATTATTATTAAAAAAGACAACATATTTCAGTAAGTCATGAACATAAATACTGCAGAATTTGGGGACCACTTAGATACTGTAAATTCAGTTATGAACAAGACAGACAAATTGCACTTAGATTTCAAGGAAAAATATGACTACTCCACACTGTAAATCATGAACATTGACACTGTAATAACTGTTTACTCCGCACTGTAAATAGACAGAACAAGCTTTTTTTTTTGCCACAACTTGAATTTGCTCTGCAACTTATGAACTTGTAGTTGTTCTGCAGATTATCAAGAGCAGTGAAACAATTTTGACTTACAAACATAGTTAGTCCTACTACTTATCTGCGGTTGCCCAGATCATAATTGTATCATGCTTGCTTATCTGAGCCTAATGCAAAAAGATAAGAGCAGTTTTAACATGGTCCATCACAGGAAACAAAGCAGAAGAAGTACTAGTGCAGGAGCAAATGCAAGGTTCAGAACGTCGATAACAGAGCAGGAACAACAACAACAGTTTTATAGTAGCTTGCATGAACAAGTGGAGCAAATTGCTCAGAGGTACATCCGTGGCGATCGTACATGGACGAACTAATACATCAGCCAGTGAGTATCCTCGCATACACTTTGAAAAGAGCTTCAACATCGGATTTAATAGACACTTGCAGGCGAGAAGAAGTTGTTGTGCCCTCCAGCGTGAAGATTGGCCGCGGCATTGCACCTCTTCTCCTTCTCGAGCGCCTCTTCGGCCTTCCACGCTGCTTCAAATGGATCGAAGGGGCACGGCCGCGGTTTGAACAAGTGGTCCTGTCCCTGAAGCCATGGAGCGTCAAGATCCGACGCGGCATTGTACCTCTTCTCCTTGTCAGCATCATGGAAGGCAGGGTTGTGCATGGCCTGATCCTCTGATCTCCACATTGGGTAAGGGTCATCAGACTGCAGCATGCCCTCCAGCACGCCTTGGTCCAAGGCATCCAGGTACAGAGGTTCCTGTTGGCCCATCTCCACGCCAGTGTTGGCTTCAGTGACCGGCTCAACTTCAATTGGGTCGTCTTCCATCATTCTCATAAGTTCTTCAAGATCAAAACCATCTTCCCCACAATCCGGCAAATCGGAAATAGGCCCCAATGGCTCAAAGACATCCTCTTCAGATGTGCTCCTTGCAATGCTCGAGCCAGCCTCTTGTGATTGGGTGCACTCCATCACATGTGACTGGGAGGAAATCTCAGGAGCTTGAGCAACGTCGGAGCGGCTGGATGTTGTAGTGGACTCGCATGATGCTTGTGCATACTGAACAGGGAAGTTGGTGTGAGGCAGCGGGCCATGCATTGCTCTGGCTGCCTCATCATACATCAAGAACGACGGTGTGGCAGATGCCGGGACCGGGACGGGGTCGGCAACGCACGTCCTCTTCTTGGGGCGCGGCGGATGAGGATCGGCGGCGGCAGCGGTCGCTGGCCTCTTCTGCGCGTGCGTGCTCGGGGTCGCGGCCTCTGGTTGCTGTTGCTGAAGCTTGTACGCGGCCGATTCCTGGCGGGCCGCGTCAGGGGCATGCTGAGCCAAGTGCATCTTGCAGAACACCTTCACCCCGTCGGAGACGGTGGCCTCCGGCAGCAGGCACTGGTATTCCTCCATGACCCAGCCTGTCGACTTGCCCTTCTTCTTGAAGGACAGGTTCCTGACCTCGCCGACCTTGACTCCCGCGTGGCTAATCTCCGTGGTCTTCTGGATGCTCCAGGTGCCGGCGCCGGCGCCGCGCACGCTCTGGAGCTTGCTCCCGTTCTTGCTCTTGCACGTGGTGAAGAAGAACCGGTCGCCGCTGCTCACGGCCTGCGGCACGGGCGCGTATCGGGCGGCCAGATCCTTGGGCTCGCAGCCGGAGATTTCGACGCGGTGGATGAGCTTGTCGACGGCCTGCAGCGTCTCGCCGGAGAGGAGGCGTGGCAGGTAGTAGGTGACGGCCTCCACTTCCGTAGGGCTCAGCCGGTAGTGGTGGAAGACTTCGTCGACGTCGAGCCCCTCCATCCCGACCGGCGGCTGCCCGATCTGCTGCTAGGGTTTGATGTCGATCGAGGGCGGGCGGGCGATTGGGATTTTGGAGTGGTTTGTCTGCGGGGTCAGGAAGGTGTTGTGGGACGCGAAGGTGCTCTGTGCTGATATTTAAAGACGCTGGCTGGACTTGGTGATGGAGGACGCGTCAGATTTCCTTATCTGAATCCGAAAATGTCCCCACTTCAGTTTGCCGCTTGCTTTCTTGATTTTTTTTGAGTAATAGAACTCCTATTTCTTTTTCTGGATTCATTTCTTTAAACCATACTCCTGGACCTTTCACCAAGACCAGCCCATAGTACTTACCAAAGCAGTTGAGGCCAGAAATAAGGCCAAAAATCCGTCACTCATCAGGGTACACACTACCAAACCCCGAGCTTTTTCAATGCACAATCTAAGCAAGACATGTCTATAAAGAGCATCTCTAACAAATTCCGTAGAAAAGGCCCGAAATTGTAAAATAACCACCGTTTTATTATGGCTTTGAGTGAGAAAAAATGTCCATCCTAGATCCCGCAAAACGGTCGGTCCTGTAAAAATTTATATAGCTCCCCCTAAAAAAAATCTTGTTCCCAAGATATGGAGTTTTGGAGGCAAAATTTTCAGCTCCATCTATACTAGAAAACCGTTGATGGGAGGGAAGTTTCATGTCAACCGCCACCGCCCTTGCCGCCAGCTCCCGATTTCGGCCGTCCCTTCCTCGTGGCTCATTCCTGACGGCCATCACGCCCCTCGAGCTCTCGAGTGGCCGCAGCAGCTCCGCTATGGATGTGGGCTCAAGGTCACCACCGAGGCCCGACGACCATCGCGCCCCTCGAGTTCTCGGGTGGCCGCGGTAGCTCCGTCATGGATGCGGGCTTGAGGTCGCCACTAGGGCCCGACGGCCATTGCGCCCCTTGAGCTCTCGGGTGGCCGCTGTAGCCGCCATGGATGCGGGCTCGAGGTTGCTATCGACGCCGGATGGCCATCGCGCCCCCAAGCTCTCGCGTGGCCGCGGTAGCTTTGCCATGGATGTGAGCTCGAGGTTGCCGCCGGGGCCTGACGGCCATCAAGCGGAGGAAGCAGTCGCGGCTGCTTGTGTGGGTGATTTGGGGAAGAAGATGGCCATGTAAATGTCGGGGTTACAAATACGGGGTAGGACCAAGTATACGAATGACCCATGACTCGTATAAAGTACGACCCGGAAAGCAATGGGCTAGGGGGCTCCACAGTTATCCCACCAGAGACAACGAGGCTGGCATGAGACCACACTAAGTCCCAACAGTCAGATGCCAGGCCACCCGACTGTCGAATACCAGCACTCGGCCGGAGACAAAGGGAGCAGTCGGCTAGGCCATCAGACAGCGGCACCCTAGATTCCTCTCGGCCACGACGCCTTAATGATGGCAGTTACCCAATGGTGGTATAATCTAACTAAATATGACAATTACCAATAGTAAATGCCATGAAACAGTCAGCCACACATGAGGCCATGAATAGCATTAATACCAACTCATTATGTACCGCTACTTGGCGCACTCTATATAAGCTAGGAGAGAAGTCACGGGTTGAAGAACATCCACACTTTATACCTTATGCCAAGAGCTAAGAGTGAAGGAAATATGCCCTAGAGGCAATAATAAAGTTATTATTTATTTTCTTATTTCATGATAAATGTTTATTATTCATGCTAGAATTGTATTAACCGGAAACATAATACATGTGTGAATACATAGACAAACATAGTGTCACTAGTATGCCTCTACTTGACTAGCTCATTGATCAAAGATGGTTAAGTTTCCTAACCATAAACATGAGTTATTATTTGATCAATGGGATCAAATCATTAGGAGAATGATGTGATTGACTTGACCCATTCTGTTAGCTTAGCACTTGATCGTTTGTTTACTGCTATTGCTTTCTTCATGACTTATACATGTTCTTATGACTATGAGATTATGCAACTCCCGAATACCAGAGGAACACTTTATGTGCTACCAAACATCACAACATAACTGGGTGATTATAAAGGTGCTCTACAGGTGTCTCCGATGGTACTTGTTGAGTTGGCATAGATCAAGATTAGGATTTGTCACTCCGATTGTCGGAGAGGTATCTCTGGGCCCTCCCGGTAATACACATCACTATAAGCCTTGCAAGCATGATAACTAATGAGTTAGTTACGGGGTGATGTATTACGGAACGAGTAAAGAGACTTGCCGGTAACGAGATTGAACTAGGTATTGGATACGGACGATTGAATCTCGGGCAAGTAACATACCGATGACAAAGAGAACAACGTATAGTGTTGTGCGGTTTGACCGATAAAGATATTCATAGAATATGTAGGAACCAATATGAGCATCCAGGTTCCGCTATTGGTTATTAACCGGAGACATGTCTCGGTCATGTCTACATAGTTCTCGAACCCGTAGGGTCCGCATGCTTAAAGTTCGATGACGGTTATATTATGAGTTTATGTGTTTTGATGTACCGAAGAAAGTTTGGAGTCCCGCATGTGATCACGGACACGACGAGGAGTCTCTAAATGGTCAAGACATAAAGATTGATATATTGGAAGCCTATATTTGGATATCGGAAGTGTTACGAGTAAAATCAGGATTTTACCGGAGTACCGGGGGTTACCGGAACCCCCCGGGGGTTTAATGGGCCAAGATGAGCCTTAGTGGAGAAGAGGAGGGGCGGCCAGGGCAGGCCGCGCGCCCCCTCTCCCTCTAGTCCGAATTGGACAAGGAGGGGGGCGGCTCCCCCCTTTCCTTCCTTTCTCCCTCCTCCTTCCCCCTTCTTCTACTCCAACTAGGAAAGGAGGGAGTCCTAGTTCCGGTGGGAGTAGGACTCCTCCCTGGCGCACCTCCTCCTGGCCGGCCGCCTCTCCCCCCTTGCTCCTTTATATACGGGGGCAGGGGGGCACCTCTAGACACACAAGTTGATCACAAAGATCTCTCCCAGCCATGTGCGATGCCCCCTTCCATCATAATCCACCTCGGTCATACTGTAGCGGTGTTTAGGCGAAGCCCTGCTGCGGTAGCTTCATCAACATCGTCACCACGCTGTCGTGCTGACGAAACTCTTCCCCGAGCTCTACTGGATCATGAGTTCGCGGGACGTCACCGAGCTGAACGTGTGCTGAACGCGGAGGTGCCGTACATTCGGTACTGAGGATCGGTCGATCGTGAAGACGTACGACTACATCAACCGCGTTGTCATAACCCTTCCGCTTAACGGTCTACGAGGGTACGTGGACGACACTCTCCCCTCTTGTTGCTATGCATCACCATGATCCTGCGTGTGCATAAGATTTTTTTGAAATTACTGTGTTCCCCAACAATGGCATCCGAGCCTAGTTTTATGCGTAGATATTATATGCACGGGTAGAACACAAGTGAGTTGTGGGCAATACAAGTCATACTGCTTACCAGCATGTCATACTTTGGTTCGACGATATTGTTGGATGAAGCGACCCGGACCGACATTACGCGCACGCTTACGCGAGACTGGTTCTACCGACGTGCTTTGCACACGGGTGGCTGGCCGATGTCAGTTTCTCCAACTTTAGTTGAACCGAGTGTGGCTACGCCCGGTCCTTGAGAAAGTTAAAACAACACCAACTTGACGAACTATCGTTGTGGTTTTGATGCGTAGGTAAGAAAGGTTCTTGCTCAGCCCATAGCAGCCATGTAAAACTTGCAACAACAAAGTAGAGGATGTCTAACTTGTTTTTGCAGAGCATGTTGTGATGTGATATGGTCAAGACATGATGCTATATTTATTGTATGAGATGATCATGTTTTGTAACGGAGTTATCGGCAACTGGCAGGAGCCATATGGTTGTCGCTTTATTGTATGCAATGCAATCGCCCTGTAATTGCTTTACTTTATCACTAAGCGGTAGCGATAGTTGAAGAAGCAATAGTTGGCGAGACGACAATGATGTCTACTACACAACCTTCTTCTTGTAGACGTTGTTGGGCCTCCAAGTGTAGAGGTTTGTAGGACAGTAGCAAATTTCCCTCAAGTGGATGACCTAAGGTTTATCAATCTATGGGAGGCGTAGGATGAAGATGGTCTCTCTCAAACAACCCTGCAACCAAATAACAAGGAGTCTCTTGTGTCCCCAACACACCCAATACAATGGTAAATTGTATAGGTGCACTAGTTCGGCGAAGAGATGGTGATACAAGTGCAATATGGATAGTAGATAATGGTTTTTGTAATCTGAAAATATAAAAACAGCAAGGTAACTAATGATAAAAGTGAGCACAAACGGTATTGCAATGCGTTAAAAAAGGCCTAGGGTTCATACTTTCACTAGTGCAAGTTCCCTCAACAATAATAACATAATTGGATCGCATAACTATCCCTCAACATGCAACAAAGAGTCACTCCAAAGTCACTAATAGCGGAGAACAAATGAAGAGATTATGGTAGGGTACGAAACCACCTCAAAGTTATTCTTTCCAATCAATCCATTTGGCTATTCCTATAAGTGTCACAAACAGCCCTAGAGTTCGTACTAGAATAACACCTTAAGACACAAATCAACCAAAACCCTAATGTCACCTAGATACTCCAATGTTACCTCAAGTATCCGTGGGTGTGATTATACGATATGCATCACACAATCTCAGATTCATCTATTCAAACCAACACAAAGTACTTCAAAGAGTGCCCCAAAGTTTCTACCGGAGAGTCAAGACGAAAACGTGTGCCAACCCCTATGCATAGGTTCATGGGCAGAACCTGCAAGTTGATCACCAAAACATACATCAAGTGGATCAATAGAATACCCCATTGTCACCACGGGTACCCCACGCAAGACATACATCAAGTGTTCTCAAATCCTTAAAGACTCAATCCGATAAGATAACTTCAAAGGAAAAACTCAATCCATTACAAGAGAGTAGAGGGGGAGAAACATCATAAGATCCAACTATAATAGCAAAGCTCGCGATACATCAAGATCGTACCACCTCAAG